GCCACTTCTGGCTTTTTTCTTTTTGCTTATGTGGTGCTGAGGAATCGAACCCAGGGCCTCATGCATGCAAGGCAAGTGCTCTACCACTGAGCCAACTTCCCAGCCCTTATTGTATTCTTTTGACTTCATACACAGAGTCCTGTTTCAACAGTGTTGTGATCTGTGGAAACTTCATAAACATATACATACACCTACAGGGCCATATAATCATAGTGTATATGCAGCCCACTGTAGCCAGAACATCGTTATGTAACATTTTTTAGCATGTTTAAAATGTAGTGTTACTATATGCTACATAATGTCATGTTTTAGTATTTTGTGTACAGTGATGTGCCACAATACACACTTAGGCAAGTGTTCTATCCCACAGCCACATTCCTAGCCCTGGATCTGGGTCCATTTAGTTGATCCATTTCAAGGTGACTTGCACCGGAAATCCATTATGCTTTCTCTAAAAATGTACATGTTTTAGGTGAATGTTTAAGCTATTTATAATGTTGGCCATTTCCTGAAATTATATCATTTTTCAGAAAAGTGAACGTAACTGGAGATCATCATGTTGAGTAAGATATGCCAAGCTTGAAGCCAAATACTGCATATTTCTCTCATTTGTGGAAATTAGAGCTAAAACTTACATATGAGTAGATGGATACATATGTACAGTTGCACAGGTATAATGTATGTGTATATACACATATGTGTATATATTAGGTACATATTCATGAACTTTTCAAATTATAGTCAATGAGATGGTGGTTGGAATACAAAAGTATTATGGCATAAATGCTTGATGGCCTTGACATTTCTTTTTTTTCTCTCTCATTTTACCAACTGTGTTAATTTGAGTATCTGATAAAACATAAAAACAAGAGTAATCTGTTTCAGTTCTAGAGCAAAATAAACTTTATTTTTAGTAAATAGTCTTTATGGGCTATCAGATCACTGTTACAGGTTAACTCTGAAGTTATCACCAAAAGGAAGCTGTAAACAGCATTCAGAGAAAAGTGATCTGGATGTGGTCAAAATTTCAGCAAATAAACAGCTTGCATAACTGTACCAGACTATTAGCAAAGTTTTCCTATTCTCTCTTTCAGTTGCAAGAAGCAAAGCATCAACACACAGAGGCTGTACAAAACATAGAGGAGACGCATGGTTACCTACAAAGGTACAATTTCAAACAGCATAAAATAACTTCAATATTTATAAAGCAAATAAGCAATGCCAGTATAAGCTTCTATCCATTATGGTAAGAAGTACATCTGTATTAAGCCACAGAAAACCAAGCTTTAAGTTATTTGAAATGCACGATTGAGAGCTTGGGAAGTAACTCAATAGTAGAGTATTTGCATTGCATAAAAAAAGCATTGAGTTTGTCCTACACCACATGCACACACGCTGGAGGCTGGTGGTTCAAGCTTGTCATCTAACTACTCAGAAGGTTGAGATCCAGAGAACTGTGATTCAAAGTCAGCCCAAATAGAAAAGTCCCCAAAGACTTTATCTCCAAAATTAACAGCAAAAGGATGGGCTGAGCTTGGAGCCTGTGGCTTACATCTGTAATTCTAACTAGAATTACACAGGAGGATGAGATCTGAGGTCGTAGTTTGAAGCCAGCCTTGGCAAGAAAGGCCAGTGAGATGCTTATCTCCAATTTAAAAAGCAGAAGTGGAGCTGTGGCTCAAATGGTAGAGGGGATAGCTTTGAGCAAAAAAAGTTCAGTGACAGTGCCCAGGTATTGAGTTCAAGCCCCAGGACCAGAACAGAAAAAAAAAAAAAAGAAAGAACTGGATGTGTGGTTCAAGTGGAGGAAGGATGGAAGGAGAAAGAAATAAAAAGAAAAGCATAATTATATAATGTCTAATGTTCTATATTAACCACAAAACAAAGCTGGAAAATGATATAGTTGTCAAATAATTTATTTTTCAAACATTTCAGAATTTATGTAGTCATTCATTCAAAAGTTTGTTCAAAATTATGTGGTATTTTAAATTTTGGCCCATGTGGAATATTTTATATCATTTAGGTCTGAACTTCCGAATCCCAAGCTAAAAGTTACAATGAAAAAGCTGGCAAGGAAAACTGAACAGCTTCAGACAACACTGCAAATGGTAATTATAAAATTGGTAGAAAGCACAAATTCTATAAATCAGTCTCTTATTAAATCCTGTCATGCTGACCAGGACTATTTCTGTAGTAGTAGAAGTATACAGAATTGTTTATGAAATGCTTATGACATCTCACTGACAAAAAAAAAATGTTCATTCATGCTGATATTACTTGCTACAACTAGTGTAGTCCTGGTGACTTTACCAAAGACATTGACTGGACTCAAATGTTAACAATTTAGGTGGCAGTATTTTTAATTTAAATTTTCAGTATTTGAGTATTATTGTGGTTATTTTAAACCAAGGTTCTACTTATATTACATTTTGTCTAGCTATTTGCCAGTTGATAAACATGGGATTTTTACATCCTTGGCTTTGTAAATGATGCTGCCCTGGAATTTGCTGTACAGATATCATTACACCAACATTTAAATATATTGTCAAATAACTTATGAAATTTCAAGCAATTGAAGTGGGTTTGATCCATAATTTGGAATTTATAATTTAAGCCTTTCAGTAAGGATTTGAGAATGAATTGTAATCTATATTCTTCATCAAGAGTGAGTGATGGGGGGGGTACCAGTGGCTCATGCTTGTACACCTACCTACTCAAGAGGCTGAGATCTGAGAATTCCAGCCTGGGCAGGAAAGTCCATGAAACTCTTATCTCTAAATAAGCACCCAAAAAAGTCAGAAGTGGATCTGTGGCTCAAATGGTAGCCTTGAGCACAAAAGCTCAGAGATAATGCCCAGGCCCCAAGTTCAAGATGTAGGACCTGCACACACAAACAAAAACAGCTATAGAGGCCTAGATCTGCACTCAACTGCTGGGTTTATAAACGGAGTGGGGCTCAGGGACCAACAGAAGGGGTGACCACTGTTAGATGCTGGTGACAGTTATAACAGAGAAATAGGATGACAGGAAAACCACAAGAATCATGAAAAAGTTGTATTTTTGTTAATTGTAGAGATGATTTAAACTTTAAAGAGAAAAGGACAAACTGAAACTCAAGGGATGAGAGACTGTTTTTCTCAGCTCACTATCACAGAGCAATCAAAATGTAGTGAAAATAAGATGGAAATTTGCCAAAATGGTGTTTGTACAATATGATTAAAATTATTGAGCTATTGAAAAAAATGTTAATATTAAAAACTAAATTTAGGCAGAAGCCTTTAACTGCTTAATCAAGAGCAAAAATCTAAAAACTGTCTTGCTTTTAACAATTAAAATTTTGCAATTGGGATGTCAGAAGTGGTCATCATAAAAGTGTAAGTCAATTGGTGGCTTTTTAAGAAACTTTACTGTATTTAAAGACTGTTCTTTCTGGTGATGAGGTTTATGAAACAAAAAAACATGAGAAATAGTCATTTTTAGAAAGAAAAGCTGAGTGTCTAAACTTTTAAAGTGCCAATTTATAAAGTTATTTTCTTTTTTCGTCTCCAAGACTGAAGAGGATAAGGAACAACTTAATAAGTTTCTTGAAATAAAAGCATGTCTAGAACGTTGTTTGGAGAAAAAAAGGAAGGAAAATACTGAATTAGAAAAAGACCTAACGAGGTAAGAATTTAACATTTCAACTTTTTCAACCATCCATTGGTTGATTTAACTCTAATTTTACTAAAAACCCAAATACAAATTTATTACGTATGTGCATTTTCATAAATAAAAATATTGTATTTAAAACATTTCAAGATAAACTCACAATGCAATTTGAAACATTTTCAATTTAATGATTTCTTTAATGATTAATGATTTCAAGTTTGGCATATAAGGTCATTTTTATTTCTGTTTCTCTTTCTTTTGTTGGAGTCCTTCCCTCTGGCATTCCAACACATTAATATATGAAAGCCTATCTCTGTCATTCTTTTTTAAATTATCATTTATTTAATGACTTTTTTTTATTTGTGTGGTACCGAGGAATCAAACCCAGGGCCTCATGCATGCTAGGCAAGCCACAATCCCAGCTCTGGCATTCTTTTAATAACATCAAAATGATCCTGATAAATCAGCTCCTGTTTTCTTCCCACCTTTTTCTTTTCTTCAGCTGTAAAATATTTCATAGAGATATACTCATTTTCCATGTCTCTCTCCCATATTCGCAGGAAACATACATCACATTAAACTTAAGTTTCTTTAAAAAAATGTATGCACATAATATACCTTCATCCCTTGGTATCTGCAGTGTTTGGTTCTAGAATACCTGTGTATTCAATAGTCACTTATATTCTGTTTGTACAGTACTTCCACAAAGCCTCTTATCCACTTTAAACTTATTTTTAGATGGCTTATAATATCTAATAAAATAATGATAGATAAATAAATGTTATTTGGTCTTGCCTAAGAAATGATGTCAAGAAATAATGGTTGTATATGTTCAATTTAGCTGCACTTTTCTTTTTCTTTTTTTTTTCCCAGTCCTGGGGCTTGAACTCAAGGCCTGGGTGCTGTCCCTGAGCCTCTTTGTGTGCAAGGCTAGCACTCTACCACTTGAGCTAGAACACCACTTCCAGCTTTTTCTGAGTAGTTCATTGGAGATAAGAGTGTCAAGGACTTTGCTGTCCAGGATGGCTTTGAACCACAATCCTCACTTCTTAGTCTCTTGAGTAGCTAGGATTATAAGCATGAGTCACTGGTACCTGGCTGATGGACTTGTTTTCTCCAAGTATTTTCCATCCACAGTTGGTTGATCCTTGGAGGCAGAATCGATATATAGAGGGATACACACACACACACACATACAATTATGGTTCTACCGCCAGGTAGAATATTTTCCAGTTTGTTTGTAATCTAATCCACACATGGCTGTTTTTTTCTGGTTATTTGAGGAGTATTTGTTCTCTGATTCCAATCAAATTTTTTATTCTATTTTATTTATTGTAAACGTACTGTACAGAGTTTTTTAAAATTCTTTAACAGGTTTTCTGTTCATTGTTTTCTAGCTCCTCCAGCATAAGGCTAACAAAGAATTCTATTCTTATAAATAATTCTTAAGTCTTTGTTTCCTTTCTTCTAAAATTTTGCTTGTCTTTATTTCCCCCTCCTAAAAGACCCCTAAGATACTTTCCCCTGCCACTTTTTCTATTTTGAATAAATTCTTTGGTGCTTTGTTTTGTTATTTTGTAATGGGATTGAACCTGGCCCTCATACATGCAAGATATGCCATCTACAACTGAGCTACCCCATCCTCTTTCACACATTTCATGTGCTGCCTTTTTCTCTTGTACACCATGGTAAAGTGACACTGAAGTGAACTTTCGTAACTTTTTTTTTTTTTTTTGGGTCCGGTCGTGGGGCCTGAACTCTGGGCCTGGGCGCTGTCCCTCGGCTCTTCAGCTCAAGGCTAGCGCTCTACCACTTAAGCCACAGCCCACTTCCGGCTTTTTTCTGTTTGCTTATGTGGTGCTGAGGAATCGAACCCAGGGTCTTGAGCATGCAAGGCAAGCGCTCTACCACTGAGCCACCTTCCCAGCCCCCTTTCGTAACTTTTTAAAGCATTCCTAAGTAAGACTTTTTTCTTAATGATAAATTGATATTTTAAGTAGCCATACTAAAATAATGAACAATTATTAAAATTTGTATATGGTTACCATATTAACTTTTTATCTGCTATATGTGTACACTCTTCATATTATTTACCTGAGGTTATCATTCCATTAAAATAAGCTTTCCAATAGTTTGAAAAAGATGAAAGTGGATCATAATTTACAGGTCAGTTTCATTTACATGCAAACCATAGCATGCATTTGAACAGCTTTTAAATATCTTTTTAAAATACTTATTAATTCTGTATATTCTTGCAGATTCAAGAAATACTTTGAGGAAAGTGGGACAAGATGGGAGACTGAAAACATGAATTCTTGCTCTGTAAGTAAGAAAAATCTAGTGACACAGAAGCCAGAAGATTGTGAGGAGGAAATGAGGGGAAGAAATGTGAAAGTACAAGGAATTAATGAAGACCCTGGAACGTATAGCGAAGCCAGCAAAACAGAAGAAGATCAACAAAGAGTTTGGAACTGGCATCCAGCTCCCATGACTGGGGGCAGGGAATCCGGAAGACCGCAATCCAAGGTAAAATGAGATGATCCAATTGCTAGATCACCGAATTCGGCTTTGGGTACCGCACACACATCCCTCACACCTTACTGGCAGCCCTGGGACTTGGGCAACAAGGACTAATCTGCTGTGAGAGGCGAGGTTGCGAGGAGCTAAGACAGTCTGTGTCCTCCATACCCCAGAGAGTGACAGAGCTGCCCTTTTGCAGGAGCAGCCTCTGAGAGATGAGGCAGCTGGGCAGTGCACCACAGAAAGTGCTGCAGGACCCCTTCCTTCTCCCCAGAGTCCTGCAGGATGGGTCAATGAGCTAGCTCAGCCTTCATTAGTTAGAGGAAGCTGTGCTACACCGGCAGGCTAAGCAGCCGTAGGACTCCCTACTGAGCCAAATAGCAGCCAGCCAGCAGTTTGAAATCCGCAGGGCCTTCCCCCATGTTGGTCTTTTGAGGGAAGCAAACCCTCACACACAAGCCTCACATAGACTTTCACCATTTACAGAAATAGATAAATATATGTAACATAGACATAGAAGAACAATAAAAAAATTATTTGTTGCAGATAAGTCTGTTTTTGTCCCTGTGTTGGTTCAAGTGCTTTTGAGTTTTGTGTTTAACTTTATGGCTTTTTTTTCCCTCTTCAAATCAGATAAAAGTCATTTACCTTTAACTTAGCCATTCTAGTATAGACCCATCTCCCCCTCCCATCTAATCTTGTAGTTTGTTTTTCTCCCTTCCTTTTATCTAAGACCATTATATGTGAACTTCATTACCTGTCTTTTAGTATATTCCTTAACCCCTCCTCTTTTTTGCCCTCCTTACATCTACAAATGGAACCCTTCTCTTACTCATAACCTGTCCTACCTCTCCTGGCTTACCGCTAAATCTCCCACAGCGCCCAAACTCATAGCTGGTAACTAGATCACATGAACATAATTTGTTCATCTGTCGTTTTTTTATTTCTTGTTTATACTTTTTTTGGGGGGGGGTTGGTGGGGAGGCTCCAGTGTGAGGCTTGAACTCAGGGCCTGGGTACTGTCCCTGAGCTTTTTCACTCAAGGATAGTGCTGTACCACTTGCAGTTTTCTGGTGGTTAAAATTAGATGAGTCTCACAGACTTTCTTGCCCAGGCTGGCTTTGAACCATGATCCTCAAATCTCAGCCTCCTGAGTAGGATGATAACTGTGAGTCAACTCTGAGTTAACAACTGTGGCAGTCTGAACTCTTTTAGGAAAAGTCATTACTTTTGAAATCTGCTATTATTGGTGATAATTTTTAAAAGGGTAAACAAGTTGATGAGAAATAGTACTTTAAGAAAAAAGAATGAATCACCAGACAACAATAATTTCCCTTTAATTTTTTCAAAGTGTGGAGATGATAACGGACTATTTAAAAAACTTGCTGAGTTGGAAAAAATGATGAAATGTACTTTGGAGAAAGAAAAGAAAAAAAATTCTGAAATAGAAAATGAGCTGGTGAGGTAAGCTTTGAGTATTTAAAAAATATATCCACCGTTCAATGTTTAACTATACTTTTACTAAAATGAAAAACACAATCACTGTACATCTGCATTTTCATAACTAAACAAAAGACTTGGTTGTAAAATTTGCTTCAAAAACTCACAACCCAATATGAAACTTGCTTTAATGCCAAAATATCCCATGGCTCCTCAATGATGTCAAAAGCAATAAACCGATGCCTCTGCCATCTAATGTCACTGAACTCTTCTTGCTCTGTGCTGAATTTTCCAAGTTCGTTGTGCTGTAAGTAAGATTTAAATAGCTGGATTGGGTCAATACTCGTGCCCCCTCCCGCGCACGCGCCCCCTCGCAGGCCTCCCGCCTGGGCCTTGCTCCCGGGCTGCGACCCCGCACACTCGCCGGTCCCCGCAGCTGGTGCCCAACATCGGGGTAAAGGCCTTGAGGTCCGGGCAGCGAGGGCACAGGGGAGAGCCGGGGAGGGCGCAGGGGAGAGCCGGGGAGCCGGGGTGAGCGGTGATGTGGAGGAAGCCGAGGAGTCTGGATGCTTGGGCCCTGGTTAGAGCCAAGGCCGCCCCTCCCCGCGATCGCGCCGGGTGGGGCAGGGGCGGGACGGGGAGGGGAGGGACCGCTCTGCGCACAACCTCGGGCCCCAGATACACACCCCCTCTCGGGCTCGGGATGGGCCACGCGGGACCCTCGGGGAGCCGGAGGAGGCGGCTGGCTCGCTGGCGTGGCGGATCTCTGCTGCCACCGCACAGTTGCTCTCTTTAATTCTGCCTGGGCTTCAGGCCTTCTGCGGCCCAGGAGGTGGGAGCCCAGGGCGGCCAGCGAGATTGGATGAACCCCCACCACCCAGCTCAGCCAGCTGAAGCCTGATACCCCCACACCCCACTCTCAAGAAAGCAGCAGGGGCACCCACTCTGAAGTTTCCCAAGGCTGAGTTCAGCATCTCCCAAGCCATCTCTGAATCTCCAGGCCTAGTTCCTACTTGGCACAGGACCTATTGTTGGCTATTGTTTTCTTTAAACTGCTGGGTGCTGCTGGCTTGTGCCTGTCATCCCAGCTACTCCAGAGGTTGAGACCTGAGAATCACAGTTCAAAGCCAGCCTAGGCAGAAAAGCTCATGAGACCCCTGTCTCCAATCAACCAGCAAAAAGCTAGAAGTGGGAGTATAGCTCTGGTAAAACACCAGCCTTGAGAAGCAAACAACAACAACAGCAAACTAAGGGAGAGCACCCTGGACTTGAGCTCAAGCCCCAGTATTGTCACTAAAAATAAATAGATAAAGAGTCATGAGGAAAATAATAACCAATGTCTGCAGTTGGCAAAGCCCTTCTCAGGCACAAGCTCCAGCCGTGTCTCTTTGCAGCCCCTGGGGTCAGGCAAGCACAAGCCACAATTCCAGCATCTACTTTGGAGTTGGAACCAACTCTTTCACCGATTCTGGAGCTTAAGCCAGCTCGTGCACACTGTGCTACCAGAAGATCCTTCTTGGGAGCTTTCGTGGCCTATGCCTGTGGCCAGTAGAACAGGCGGAGGGAGAGCATATCTTCTGGCCTGATGATGGAAAGTTTAGGCGGATGGATACAAGGTGTGGGTTTGGTAGGGAAGGATGAAATATCAACTTCCTTCGGAAGCCTTTGCTGCCCACACCTGCTGTTCCCTGGTTCAGAGCCGATTTCCAGTGTAAAGTTTCACTCTACCATAGCAAACCCCATGACTAGGGTGCATTTCTTCACCTGAAGCCTCAATTTCCCTTTAGACAGAGCAGGTGGGACCACCTGGCAGTGACTGAAGGTTCAGGCTAGAGACAGAGGTACAGCCAGGCCCATGGGTCACCTTTGTGAGCGGAGGAGGCCTGGCCAATATCAGCACTCATTAAGGTATCAGGACCTCTGGCAGACAGGCCATACCACTGGTGGTAGCAATTGTGCCATGGACAGATAGGAAGTGTGCTGGCGATGGACAGGTGGCAGCCCTAGAACACGCAGCTGGAGCCATTTTATGGTGGGTGGAGTGAGATTTGGCATGAAAAGTGCTGCTCTTCCTTTCCTGCCATTGTTTCATTTGAGTCACTCAGATGCTGGGTGCCCTTGGTCGTCAGAACAAAACCTAGAGACTCCCACAGGCTCACACCACATCCTCGACTTCCTGAGCTCCACTGTGCCCCACCCTTGTCCTGGAAACAGCGGTGAGTGATCTGCCCCTCCTCCCAGCACCTGTTCAAGAAAGAGGTGCCCTACCGCGGCCCGGGCTCCTTCTGATCCCAGTGGGTGAAGAAGGGCACAGAGCAGCTGGCCACTACCATCCATGCCATTGTCACTCACTTTAACAGTGTGTATCATCACCATCTAGCTAGGGGACCAACCAGAGCATGAAGGTTTCAGATACAACCCAGGTGGTGGAGCACTAGATCAAGGTGGCCAGGATGCTATGACAGGGGCCTTATGTGGGTCATAGTCAGAGCCCCTGCGTGGACCCCAGGCCCCTCCTTTTCACGCTGACTGGGCACTTACAGCCCAGTCCCTCTCTTGATGTGGCCTGATGCTCTGCCTACCTCTGAGTCACTGTCAAATCCCTGGATCTCATTAGGAGAGGCTCAGCCCCAGTGGCCAAGAGGGGAGAGACAGTAGGAGCTTCACCCATAGCTTACAGCACCATCATTCGCAGAAGGAGGAAGTCCTGAAGAACTTCTCTTCCTTCTGTGCCATCCCCTCTGCTCCTCAGAGCAGGGCCACCCACGGTGTGAAGAGGATGCAGAAAAAGGCCTCCAGGCAGGAAGTGCTCCCATCTCTCAACTCAGGAACTGTGAGGGCCTAAGGGCTGGTATGACCACTTAGTGATGCAAACCTTGAGAGCAGGGGCTGCTGGCGGGCAGGACTCAGTCTACATGATCGGTCCAACTGTGGTTGGGTTCAGCTTTCTGCATGCCAGACACAGGAGATTCTCATGTTCTTACAGTGTAGCCACAGATGTCTGTGGAGAGAAATCAAAAGAGTGCTGGGTGAAAATGGCGGGGAGGGGCTGTTGTACAGACACAAAGGTCCTGCGCTGGACCTTCGCGCACATCCTTAAGGCTTTTTTTTTTTTTACAAGTTTCTTCTGTAGGCAGTTGGGATACCCATACCCCTCCCAAGTGTCATCTTCTTTCTGTCTTTCAGAAAAAGCTATTCCAGAAACTGTGCAAACTTTTCTGTAAGAACTACCACTCCATCAGCAGAGGGTTGCTCATCAAGTTTGGGAGAAGCCAGGGATCAATGGAGCAAGGCAAGAGCATTTGGGCCTATTAATGTCTCACTGGAAGTGATGCTGAAAGAAAAACAAAACAAAAAACAAAACAGCCAGAGCTCACGCCTGTCATCTTAGCTCCTTAGGAGGCTGAAATCTGAGGATCTCAGTTTAAAGCTATCCTGGGCAGGAAAGTCCATGATACTCTTACCTCCAATTAACCACCAGAAAACAGGAAGTGGCGCTGTGGCTCAAAGTGGCAGAGTGCTTGCCTTGAGCTGAAGAGCTGAGGGTCAGTGCCCAGGCCCCGAGTTCAAGCCCC